CTTCACCTGTTCAATACAATAATCTACTTGCTGATTCATCAGTGCTAAAATCAGAAGAACTACTGTCTTCCTTGTTACCGACGGATTATTGATATAGCCTGCAATTGTTCCAGATTTTGGGTAGTTCCATTATATGATTGAATCATTCCAAGTTGGCAGGCAGGCCTTTTCACAAAAAGTGCAATCAAGCAATTGTATGAGCACTCTCTTGGTCTTGGCACAGAGTTTCTAGCCCATATTCATTATTTCACTTTATTCCAGTTAAATTCTCATTTGTTTTTGTCAACTCATTGTTGTATACATCAAGAAATTGGAATTCTGATTTTAAAATCCAACATATTATCTATCATTCCCAGATTTGTGAAGCTCATAAATGAGATAAACATGCACATGTGATCATTCAGACCCCTACTAAAAATACTGAATCAGCAAGTATCTTAGGGATCTTAGTTGCGGACTCAGGCAAGACTTCTAGCTACAGATGGTCCATTAACTCACTACTTAGGGGCCGTGCTGCTCAATCAACTCAAGACATGCCCAAAAGTCTTATAATGCATCCCAAAAGTATCTTGGTTAACAGGGAAATCATGAAAGTATTTCCCAAATTTCATGCTATAGTGAAGATGTAATGTGCCTGCCATATTCCTCTGAGCCTGTGGTCTCACCGCCATTCAGTTACAGAGGAAAATGAGATGATTTTGGTGTGATTCCTTTTAGTGAATGAAAGTTGTCTGATATTAACAATCATTTCCTTTTCCAAGTGTTCATGAATCATCTGCTTACTAATTCACACAAGTCTTTGGCTAGGGATCAACATCTGGCCAATCATCAATAATTTAATATATCATTTCTCACCAAAAGATAAATATTAGTTCAGCATTTATGTGTAAGTATAATGCTGTCAGGTAATTTGAGCAAAAGACTGTTGCTGCACTTGGCAAAAAAAAAAAAGAAAAAAAATGTAAGCAACAGAAACAAAAAAAATAAAGGCCACGTTCAGTGAATGAGGAACAGCTCAGTATTAGGGTCAGACTGGAAATTAAGTCTGTGAATTGTTCATGTAATGTGACTATTGGAACCCTGTGGGTTCGTTTGACCTTTATAAGTCTGAGACTTCACCCATAGCATGGGAACAGAATGGTGGTGGCAGATGCTAGTGATATTTTCATGGAACAAAAGAAAAGACTACATGTTTAGATGATGGGGTGTTAAAGAGCTCATTATAATATTTTGAGTCTTTCCACCTCAAAATATATTTTGAGTATTTACCAAGTTGGAGAAAAGAGAAGTTGATTTAATTAGAGGTTGCAAAGAGGTGATGCTTACAGATCAGGACACAGTGAGTCTATGATATTTTAAACATTGAAACAGACATAAAAACATAAAATCCATCGTATAGAATGGGGCTGAAGGATTTTGAAGCCAAAGTCCTGGAATCCCCCCCCACACACACACAGGGTGGTAGAACCCCAGGTGGGAATTCCAATGTGTTACCTACTTTCAGGGAGTATCACTCCCAAGGAATTTTTCTGTGGTCATGGTGCTCCCCAGTGCTGTTCTGCCTGGTAAGTAGTAGAGCTTCATGACACTATAGTATAAAATTAAAATAACTACTCCAGTAAAGGGTAGTAAGAGGAACTTTGCTATTCTTCTTGATTGACACATGCCATGAAAAGTCTTTTGTAATGTCTTCAGGTTTTTATTTATTTACTTATTTTTGCGCACTTAGTTACTTTCTTCTTGCTGAGACACAATATCTGACATCCACAAGTTAAAGGAAGAGAGTTTTACTTTAGCTTACAGTTTGTAGAGGTTTCAGTCCATAGTCAGCTGTCTTCAAGGCAGAGTAGCATGGCCGAGGGGACTTGCAGAGGAGAAACAGTCCATGGCAGGGCAAACAGGAAGCAGAGAAGGGTCAAGGGAGGAGGAGAAAGATAGACTCTTCTAAGCCACATATGACATGACTGCTTCATGTCAAGACAGAGCTCTTAGAGCAAAATAGAGCTCCCTGAGCATCTACCTGAGCCTCTATCTTTCCTCCTAGAATCATCTGTGGTTGCATTATTTGATGAGTTTCCTATCATCGTTTGCGTAAACTCCTTTTTCCTAATTTCTTTTCTTCACATTATCTTTGAGTTCTATCTCATAAAGTCTTAATGATACACACTAAGCCATACTTACCCCTTCAGTGATTAAAACCTGAGGCTACATCACCTTGCACATCCTGCCCAGTGGCTCAGCTGAGGTCCTGTGGCATCTCTCCTGTGACAACTTACCCCTCACCCCACACTAATTCTGTGTTTTGTCATTATTGTGCTCTCTAAATGTTTATCTCTGAATCTATCCTGAATTCTTAACTTTGGTTCTAAAGTATTCTCAATCTTTGAGATCACCTGGTAAATATCTTTCTTGTCTGTCTTGCCCTTGTTTTTCTTTCTGCTTATAGCTGTCTTCGCTGACCAGTCTGACCCTTCTCTATCACTTTTTGGTCCTTACTGCAAAAGGCTCCTTGGGCCATAGGAACTGCACCAGACACTTGGACTGGGGGAATCCCAGCTTCTACCAGTTGGCAGGCAAAGAAGGGATATTCCTCAACTAGACATGAAACAGAAAACTTTTGGTTGATTCTCAGTTCTTTCACTGGCTTTCACTTGAATTCTAGAATCTTCTTCTTTTCTCATTTACAAAATGAAGGAAATAGAATCTGTGCAAATCTTTGGAAAAATCTTATGTGATAATGCATGAGAAAGAATTTTGTTATCTCTAAAGAGATAACAGAATCTTATCTGGTAGTATTTTTGTTGTTTATCTCTTTTCTTGCAACTGCTAGTTATAAGAACTATACTGCTGGGACTCTGGGTTGGAAACATGAAGGCCAAAGTGCCATGTAAACTTTATTATACCGGAGGTCAGAGTTGACACATTGGCCCATCTGATCACAGTGATAATCACTTGTTCCTGTGGCCCTACTGTGTCCTTGCCCTTGTTGACATAATGTGGCCACCTCTGCTTAAATTTCCGTGAGTTTCCATACTTAGCTGTCATTCATTTTTTTAAATGTCTGATCATCTGACCCTCCTGCTTGAAAATCTTTCTTCTCCTTGTACATTCATTTATTCATGCAACATTCACAAGGAGCTCACAATTCTGTCCCACCTACCATGTACTAGGTAGACAAAGACTGAGCATGTCTACCTCCAAAGTCCATCAGTGCTTTTACCTTGGCCTTGTCTTCATGTATGAGGTGTGATCAGAAAACAGAATGTTTAAATTTTTTTACAAAGTTTTATTACGATAAGACACATTTCCATTATGTTCTCTCAAAATACTCCTGCTTACTTTGAACACTTATCATTCTTGCCACTTTCTGCAGCAGTTCTGGAAGTCCTCTGTCATGAGTATCTTTAGTTGCACTGTCCTTGTAGCTGCCTCCATGTCCTGAATTGACTCAAAACATTTTTCTTTCATGGTTATTTTTACTTTGGGGAAGAGTCAGAAGTGGCACAGTGTCAGATCCAGGGAAAAGGTGGATCCTTATGTCATGTTTTTACTAGCCTGCCTTTTCCTTGGATGGCACTCAGCAACAGCATTCACTATATTTTTTATCACACCTTGTAAGGAAACTCATGAAAGAGGACTTCAAGAACTGCTGCAGAAAGTGGCAAGAACAATGAGATGAGTGTGTTCCAAGTGAGGGAAAGCATTGTGAGAGGCATTAACGGCAATGTGTCTTTTACTGTAATAATTTAAAAAAAATTAAACATTCACATATTTTGATTCCCCTCTTGTACATCCTTTGCCTCAGATGCTCCTAAAATGACCCTCACCTTCCCCTGACTCCCACACATCCTTCAAGGCTCTGCCTAGACCCCAGGAGCACCCTGCTCCATGGAAGCTGAGGCCCTGCCTGGCCTCTTGACTTCCCAGAGCTTGAAGTTGGGCTGCATACCCTCTGGGAGGAGGCTGTGTTTATTCCTCAGTGTGTCCAGGAACAGCTGGATGTCCAGGCACCAAGGCTGTCTTCAGCAACTCCAGAGAAGGATGTTCCCCGCATCATACACACAGCATTGGTGGCTTGTGTGCTGGCCTGGGAACCAGAAGTGGTTGATTCTGTGGGAGCACAGTTGACCTCCCCGCACAGTGCCACCTCTGGCTCTGGCCTGGAGCCTGAGCTATAGCCTGCCTGGGAACAGGGGGAGAAGCTATTACTGGTCAAGGAGGGCTAGGGCTCCTCTAGGAAAGGAAAGGGTGGTGGGACAGGGACAGGAAGTGAGAGAGGGCAGAGGGAAGGAATTCAAGACTCATCCTGAGGGGACAAGGGAGTCATTGATGGATCCTAAGTTAGGCAGAGGCAAATGATGACTGCATTTCAGTTCTTACTTGACTTACTTTGGGTCCAGTAAGAGTTAAATCATTGCTTCTCAACTTTCAGTCATTGTTTTTAATATTTGTATGCACTTGCTTCTTTACTTAATATCTTTAATCTAAAATTAATTCTCTTACTAGAGTTATATTTTTTACAGAAGAACCAATATATTACCCTATTTACAGAAAATCTATAGCATTTTCCTGAAACACACACACACACACACACACACACACACACACACACACATTTTTAAATATTTATTTAAGTATCATTCCTTAGAACACTCTCAAGGCCTGAGTCACAAAATGAGAAATAGGTGGTGAAGAGCTCTTCAGGAGCTGACTGGGGCCTGGCTCCTTCCCTTTTTTTCTTTTTTCTTTCTTTTTTTTTTTTTTACACACAGTACACCATGCATTGCATTACAAAAATGGCTTCTGTTTCATGTGAGAATTGTACAGTATAGTGTGGGTACAGGGTCTCTTCATAGCTTGGGTTATGCCCTTATCTGAAAACAGCCCGCCCCCTTCCTGGTTCAGATGAGTGATGTTTTTCCATCAGGGTCATTAGTGTGAGGTGAATAAAAATTTTCTGCTTCAGGAAATATGTTTGACTTGCTTGTCTTTTGGATCAGAATGGAAGAGTCCTCTCTGAGGAAAAGAGCAACTCGATCTTATTGGATGACATTTACGACTACCACCAGGGCATGTACGTGTGTGACTACGCTCTGTCCTCAAACTCAAGTTCCTGGACAGCCAGAGCCGTGGTTCAAGTGAGAACCATCGGTAAGTGAGACATGTGCCACAAGCTCCAAGACTTGAACTCTCACTGCCCAAACAAAATGATCTTCCTCTGGCTTAGTCATTTTTTCCTCTTGGGGGTAAAAGAGGCAGCCATGCAGTTGTAATCACGAAAGCCTCCGATGAGGCTAACATCAAACCAGATCCCACCCCCAGGGAGGCTCAGTTAAACCCGGGGTGCCTGTTGGTCATCCCAAGTTGAGCTGTCCACTCATTTCTTCCTAGTTTACCTTTGCAAAGAATTTAAAGATATATTAAATATCTCACACACAGATAAGTGACACCCAAGTACCCATCACGACTTTAGAATGTGTTAACATTTTCCTACATACTCAAAATCTTGGCTTTTTTTTGTTTGTTTTTTTAGAGAAACAAAGCATTGAAGTTACAGTTTGGGGGTCTGTGCCCCCACTGCTGTCGGACTTTCCTGCCATAGAGTGATCACATATTCTTTACACTGGTGCTTTCACACTTTTTCCAAATATATGCCCATCCATTAATGTAAGAGAACATTGCTCTGTATTATGAAATGTGGTTTGTGTGACAAAAGGTAGCACTATATTAAGATAATGTTTTGTCAATTTATACCATATTAACAAGGAATTTCATTATTCTCAAGTAAGATAACACTTAGTCTTATTGGATTTTTTGATTGGCATCAAGTAGCTTCCCTTCTTTCCTTTTTTTCCTTTTTTCTCTCTCCCTCCTTTCTTCCCTTCCTCCTCTCCTCCCCATCTTCCTCTCTTCCTTTCCTTTCCTTCCCTTTCCCCCTTCCTTTCTCTTTTCTTTCTTTCTTTTTCTTTCTTTCTTTCTCTTCCTTCCTTCCTCTCTTCCTTCCTTTCTCTTTCTTTCTTTCTTTCTTTCTTTCTTTCTTTCTTTCTTTCTTTCTTTCTTTCTCTCTTCTTTCTTTCTTTCTTTTTTCTTT